ATTAAGAAAAGCAAGCGAAGGAAATTGGGCAAATACCATTAAGAATCACTGATTTATTTAAAATATTTGTGTGATGATTAAATAGTGAAAGTTCAACTCTTTTTAGGGTATGTAAATATACGTATCGTATTACCAGTCACGATGAGGTCCATCAATATGGCTTTCGCCATTAAAAGGGGATCTGGAAAAGATCTAAAATTAACTCCCTCCATTTTTTCTTTTAATTTGAATTTCCACACCTATCTCTTCACAATTACAAGAATCGCAATTAAAAATAAGAGGGCAAAAATTAAAAAGTGAAAGACTGAAGGTGACATATAAAATTATTTGTGAAGTTATGTATAAAAAAAAAAAAAAAAAAAAAAAAAAAAAAAAAAAAAAAAAAAAAAAAAATTGGATAGTAGGAGATTAAATTAAAAAGAAACGTTCAAAATAGGAAAGTGGGTAAATTAAACAGAGGGAGTATACAATAATTATATACATTATTCTGGGACTCTAAGAATGATTATACACCTAACAATAATATTCATAATCCATCACAGGACTTATACCAACTAATGACATGCTACAAGGCTGAATATAGAATGTAGCCTGCGTACACTCACATACTACAAGTAAAAGATGCAATAGTTGAGCAAGAAATAAAAAAAAATGAAGAAGATGAACTGAACTGGATTGCAAACATGCAGGAAAGTAACAGTTTTGTGGTTAAAATATGATAGTTTACTCTGAAAAACATATAATTTTAAGCAAAAGAGGTAAAGAAATACAAATGAACAAGGAAAACACAGGCTTTGAGTGAATTCCTCATGACCAAAATGCATAATATTGACGAAACTAATAGAAAAGACTACACTATTGCTGGTCCAACCTACTACTTCGGTGGTTTAAGCTTTGTGAGTAGTACCTTTCAACTTTAATGCTCCTTTCATAATTGAAGTCTATATCAAACAAAATGTTTGGTACCGAAACAATTTAATTTCTCTACAACCTTATCCACCGTATAGTAATTTTTGGTCGGTAACTCAGTTTAATTTAGTAAGTTCACATGAAAAAAACTTGTCAATCTGCTACCCGTTTAAAGTAATTACCACTAACGATATTTAGTTCCTCACAGGCATTTCCAAAGGGCTCTTCGCTATCTATAGACATGTCACAAGCAATGTTAAAAGCGATAGAAAGGGGAGAGATTGAGATGTTGGAAAGAGAGTTGTTGGCTCACTACAAGTGCATAACCTCATCAACAAACAACACGAACACGAGCACGAGCACGAGTGTTGGCCTTAAGCCTTTCTCAGGGCTGTTCTACATTTCTGGTGGCATGGCATCTATAGCACTTTTAGTCATTGTCATTCCTACAATTGAGAAGCGCTGGAGAATTTCAAGATTAGTACATGAAATAATTATAAAACTTTTAAGAAAATTACGTGTTTGGATGTCAATCATGTCAATGATCTTCTTTAGAACCTAAATGCATGAATAATAGTCCTGTATTCTAAGAACTATTATAGGAAGTGCAAAGAAAGTTAATGAAGTTGAAAAAAAAAGTCAGAGAATTGAATGATACCATGAGTGTTCATGACATCTCCACGTGATACAAAATTGCTCATAAAGATTTTTACTTCCTTCATTATTTTTGATTAATTGTCGTTTAAGGAAAACTTAGAAATTAATTAAAGTTGAAATAAAAATATGCTAGAAAAGTGTTACAGTTAAATATATTTTATAAAAAAGTTTTTAAAAAAAATGTGTTATAATTCAATTTGCAATAGCTATAAAAAAAAATTGTACTCGTAGTCATTATATTGAGCGAATATCAACTCTTCAAATTTGTTCAAAAAAAAAAAAAAAAAAAATCAACTCTTCAAATATTATAAATTTTTGTTGAGTTATTAAATTTCACTTATAGTTCGAAAATCGGGTTGGAATGTTGGATTATATAGAATCGCCAGACGAATCCTCATACAACTTGTGACCATTTTTTTTTTTTTTTTTTTTGAAGCAACATGTGACAACTTGTTAAAACACAACTTTTTTCCATAAAAAATGTGATAAAATAATAGTGAGACAATAAACATGTGAAATAGAGGTGAGCAAAATAAATTTTCTAACAAAACAATAAATAGTTTTAAAGTATGATAGTTGGTGTTGTAGTGTTCTACTACTTGAGAACTCTGTTTTAATATATTTCTGGGTTAAAAAGCTGGAAAAATGCTCAAAATAATAAAGTTTCCAGCTATTTTTCTATAATTAAAAAGGGTGCAGGTAACAGGGAGTTGGGAAATAAATACATTAAAAATAAAAAAATAAATAAAAATAGTCTTGGTCAAATAATTGTCATACTCCTATTTTTTTTCTTTTGTGTGTGTGTGACAAACCATTGGAATCAATAAGAAAAATTCATCACTTAATAAATACTTCGTACATTTTTTTTTTTTTTTTTTTGAAGGTAAGATAAAACGAAATATATAGTATTAGGATGTACAACCTTTTAAAATACGGAGAAAGATAAAATAACCTATAAATGAATTGTCTTTCTATTTCAGAAATTTATTTGTTCATGTTTTACTTTTCGCTCATACATGCATCTAAGTTTTAGCAACTTATTGTAAAAAAAAGTTACATACGAATTGAAGTAATTTGAAACTACATAGAAATTTTAACGATTGAAATTTGTAAATATTCTACTAACTACATAAGCTAGAGCATAAAGAAATTAAGAGAGAATAATGAATTTTATTCATCAAATATTGTTCTTAGATTATTAAAATGCTTTCATTTGAAACCTATATATATATATAATATATATATATATATATATATATATATATATATATACTAGAGTACGGTAACAGTTTAATCTCTCTTTTTAATTTTAATCGTCAATAAGGTGTTTAATTAATTTCTCGTCTTCCAAATTCAGGTGTTCTTAAATCCTAAAGTTCCTGTTAAAAATAAATGGGATCTCTTAAAGTACATACTTCTACAATCTCAAAAATTTATATTTTGGTTTTACTATACGTTAGGATTAGTTTGTTCGAACTTAAATGTAATTTATGTGGCTGAATCAACCTTGTAAAGTAGCTGAAGCAACCTTAAATGAGTCAGAAGTAATAATTATTGCCTACAGGTTAGGTTTCCGTTTATCGTTTATGTACTCCTACTATCCCGAATTAATACTCACATTGTACTATGTTATATTTTTAATTTGTAATATTAAAATAATATGAGTATTACGGATTATTCTTTTTTTATACTAATTATCATATGTGATTGGCCACACAGTGTGGCAAAGGTTACTTATTCAGGGGTTACTCAATCGGTCAGTGGTTACTCGGTTGGTCATGTGCTACTCTAACACACACAAAAACACACTAACTGAGTGAATAACCCCAAAATAAGTAACCCTTAACCGACTGAGTAACCCCTAAATAAGTAACCCCGGTTACACAGTGTGGTTGATGTGGCCAACCACACTGAAAAAGCACCGTTTTTTTTTTACAACTTGACTTATGTATATTTCACACTATACTTTATATGGTAATTTATATTTTAAGGAAAATACTACCTCCGTTTCACATTATTTAACAATTAAATATTTTATATTCTCACAAAAATACTCAATTGTATCAATTGAAATTGTACAATAATGTGAAAGTTTACTTGTTACCGCTGAGGAACTTAAATATATCACTATTTAATCGAGCAAATAATAAAGTCTATTTGCAAGATCATGTTGAAAATTTTATCAATAAACATCTAACTCCAAACGATGCACAAATAACGCTGAATAAATTATTACCTCCGTTAAACATTAATTGCAACTTTAAAATATTTTATATTTCACAAATAATATCCCATAGTTGCAACTAATATTTAACATAGATAGTAAAAGGGATTTTGTGAATGGTATGTACCTTCAGCAATTACTTTGCCAACCAATCTAACTCCAAACAATGTGACAAACTCCGAACAAATCAAAAGGGATTACGTGTATCATATAATATATACCTTCAGCAATTACTTCGCCAACTACACATGATTTTTCTCCTAGAGGGTCTAAACCACTTTGAATTAGCTCCAATTATGGCTAGGTTTATTGTTTTGGTCCACCATCTGATAGTCTCATAAACCTACATTGATGCATGTTTCATGTTATCATATTATATTGTTGACAAATCCTTGTCGTATAGTTCCCCATTAAATGTCTGATAAAGACTTAACCATACTTGCTTTAGTAACAAAGATTGTATCTCTAATGTTAAATTTCATGAGAAATCCTTAAATTGGAGTGTGTACCATTGATCAAAATATATGGCGTTTTACAAACATCGTAAACCTAATACGAAAAGGATACAAAATATATACAATTATTATCCTAATCTGCGACAAATATTATCATAACTATAATATCTATCACACCCCCGCAGTCATAGCGAGAGGAGGTCGTACGCTACGACTGGAACTGAAATCAAAAAATAACTCCCGTGATAAGCCTTTTGTGAAAATATCCGCAAACTGATATCTAGAAGGAACATGTAGAACCCGAACTTCTCCCAAAGCAACATTTTCTTGAACAAAATGAATATCCATCTCCACGTGTTTGGTACGTTGGTGTTGTAGTACCGGGTTGCCAGAAAGATATAGCACTGACATTATTACAATAGACAATAGTAGCCTGTCGAAGAGGGCAATTTAACTCAAGTAAGAGATTACGGAGCCAACATGCCTCAGAGACAACATTAGCGACGCCTCGATATTTTGCTTCTACACTCGATTTAGATAATGTACGTTGACGCTTAGACGATCAAGAGACGAGGTTGTTCCCAAGAAAACAACAATAACCTGATGTGGAACGACGGGTATCGGGACAACCTCCCCAATCAGCGTCAGTGTAAGTAATCAAACGATGAGAAGCAGATGGATATAAATGTCAACCATTTTATATGTATATTTCGAAGGTACTGATTTCCTTATCTTTTCCCTTATTCTCCAAGACTTTACTGGTTAACCCGAATCGAATTGATCAGTGTGAGGCTTCAATCCGATATTGACACGCACCTTTTGTGCTTGCGTACAGGAAAAAAAAAGTCGGAATAAATAAGTCAAACTTGATTTCTTCCAAAATTCTAGATTGTACAGTTTACATAATATAAATACATGTCACGCACCCAAATCCCATTTCATCCACGTACCAAAAAAAAATTAAACAAAAGGAAGAAGAAGAAAAAAAAAATGGTAGTTACAAAAGGAGAAAATAACTTAGTCTATGACATAAAAATATCGTCAGTAGTGCCTGGAAAAATCGCAGGAGAAAACAGAACATATGAGTTAAAAGGCATAGATTTTGCAATGAAATTACATTATCTTAAGGGTCTTTATTTCTTCAATAATCCTAATAATACTAGTGATAATGAAGAAGGAAAAAAGACTAGTTTTATAAGTATACTTGATATAAAAAAAGTTATGTTTGATAGGCTTGTAGTTTATTTCAAGACTTGTGGAAGGATCCGGGTGTCGTCTTCCGAGACCGGAGAACGAGCATCGATCAAGCTCAACGATGCTGGAATAAGGATCGTCGAGGCTCAATCGAGTAAGACTGTCGAGGAGTGGCTTGCTTTGGAGGGCTTCCTCTCTTTGCAGGATCAACTTGTGTACAATGATGATGGTCTTGGTCCTGACTTGCCCTTCTCCCCTCTTGTTTGCCTTCAGGTAATAATTAAGCTTATATTATTTTATGTTTTTGATGATTTTATTGTACGATATGATAATTATACAGTTGATTTAAATTAAATTTGATAGTCCTGTTTCACTTTTTGCCCAACATCCATGCACACATGACACATCTAAATATAGGTCAATATATCCGTGTTACATAAGATTATAAAAGGTTAATGTTGCAAATTGAGATGAATTAGATTAATTAGATCTATACATATACGAAAGATAAATGAGACAAGTTCGGTTTTTGTTAACGTGTTTTTCATACTCCGTACATTCTACTTTCTCTATTTTATTTTAATTGATACATTTCTATAAATACATTTGCAAATGCATGATTTTAAATATTATTATCTTCAATTATCAATAACAAAAAATTATCAAAAGTTTATTCAAAAAATATATACTAACACAAATCTAACAAGACTAACCTTTTTTTTTTTTTTTTTTTTTTTTTTCTTTTTCTTTTTCTTTTTCTGGGTAAGTATGAATAACAAAAGGAAGTCAAAGTAACTTATACGTAAATACTGCCCAAAAAATAACACAAATTTTTTTGCAGGTGACTTGGTTCAAATGTGGAGGAATTTCAGTCGGCCTAAGTTGGGCTCACATACTTGGTGATGCATTCTCAGCTGTAGAATTCATGAACACTTTGGGCCATTATATTCAAATTCAAGGTAGTAACAAAGAAAAACCAAAGTTAATTTCCCTTCAAGATCCTCCACAATCCGAATACCCGCTTTCGAAATCCACCCGAGAGCCCATTTCCGTGAAACGGGTCGACCCGGTTGGTAGCCATTGGGTCCTTCCTTTCAATAGTAAAATAGGTTTCCACACTATTCATCTTAATTCAAACCAACTTGGTGAATTGCATTCAATGGTACATGGTACCAAAATGAATGACAATTGTACTAGCCAATTTTTTGAGGTTATTACATCAATTATGTGGAAATCCATTGCAAAGATTAGGAAGGATTTGGAGACAAATGTTGTGACTATATGTAGGCCAAAATCAATCAAAAGGCAAGGAGTAGTGCCTCATAATGGCCAAATGTTAGGTGTTGTCAAGGTGAATTTTGCGGTATCAAATGTTGCTCCGTTAAAATTGGTACATTCGATTGTTGAAGGTGTGATCGATGAGAGTGACATGGTTGAAGAATTAGTGAACAAAGAGACGGGTGAGTCTGATTTCTTTGTTTACGGGGCAAATCTTACATTTGTTGACGTAGAAAAAGCTGATGTTTATGGTTTTGAAATGAAAGAAAAACATCCAAGGTTTGCTAGCTATAGTATTGGTGAGATAGGGGATAAAGGAGTCGTTTTGGTACTTCCAGGCCCTAAAGATGAGAATAGTAAAGGTAATGATGCCAAACTTATTGTGGTACAACTTCCGGAAGATGAAATTGAACCCTTGAAAAGCGAGCTCAAGGAAAAATGGTGCATTGAATAATTAATGTATGTAGTATCCTTTCAAAATAATTTATGTTGTCTTAATATATAAGCGTAAAGTTGGATGTAAGGTTAATTATTCATGGATTATGCCTAATACTTGAAATGCGGTTGTAAAAAGAATGGTGCGTCAAGCCACTGAATAATACCCTATCTTACTGCTTGCTGGAATGCTGGCTTCACAATAGCAAGGGGAGCGTCATGTACTCATGTGACTTCATCTTTCTTGTATCATTGTTTATTGTTATATCATATGTTATGTACCAGTGAGACGACCAAATAAACTATACAAGTATTTGTTATTGGTTTAATTTGCAAATCAAACAATTGCAATAGTCTATATTCTTCAATGATTTAATTTTTTAAGAAAATCAAATTCAAATCTTCATGCATGACAAAGTTGGTAAGTCTTTTAACGCCTTCCCCTAGCCACCCTGGAATCCCCTTTATAACATAAAAATCGTATGTAATCCGCCCTCCCCGGCCACTTCTATGATCTGATCCATTGCCATTCCCTTACATACATAACATCCTCTTCATTTGCTCACTATGCTCTCCCCGAACCAAGGCAAGTTGTACTTGCAAGCGCGTGCGTGTAATTCCCCTCTTTGTACCTGAAAAGTGTTGGTGAGCAAAAGCTCCCAACTCAAACACACTGCACATAATCAACATGGAAATAAATCAACTTTCAAAACGAAAAATAATTAAATCAAAATATGTACGGAGACACAGTGGACGCAGTACTCATGTACTTCGTACTACGTAACATTAATGTAGTTCTAGTGTTTTACTTATACAGTTATACTCTTATATATATATATATATATATACTACTTCGTATGTGTCTACGTAGCATTATTGGGTGTATGCAGTGCAACTATAAGAATGTGGACTGACTGACTGAGACAAAACACAAAAGTTATGGTTGCTTCTATGTAAAATAATTTTAATAAAATACCAAATAATGAAAAAAGGGAAAATATTACTTGTATAAAGAGTCTGGACAACATACGAAGTTTTTTTTTTAATTAATCTTACAGAGTTTAGAGTACGAGTATATTATTTGCACCATTTTTCTATTTAGGATGTCCCAAATTTACTTGCCCAAATTTGAAAAGTAAAAAAAAAAAATTCTCTCTATATTTTCTCTTGAATTGGATTCCATATTACTCACTCTGTTTTTTTTTTTTTTTCCTTAATCTCTAGTTTTACACATGCATAAAATTTTGTAGAAATGGTCATGGCATAGGGCAAATAATTCGGAATGGATAGAGCACAATGTTCCCATGCATTCATTACATATTTGAATATTGTTTGTCCCACATTAAAAAAAAAATAAAGTAATGACCATTCGAAATAGGTGAAACACTTTATACTATGGGCTTTTGACTTGTGGCAAAACCCAATCCAAAACCTGGACGAGTGCACCAACTTTCGTGTGATCTCAAATTCTCTGTATAAGCATCTCTATACACTCCATACTTCCACAGTCTTGTTCAAATTTTTTGGCTTTAGATTGAATAGGCGGATTGGAACCCATAAAAAATAAAATCAACTCGAAAGTCAGACTGGTTTCTTTCAATCCAATCCGGTCTAATCTAGTAGACCAACCCAAATTATCAACAATATTATGATCGGCCAAACACTGAGGCTTATATACTCCGTAATTTATTTGTTGATAAGTATATTAGGTGACTCGTACTTCGTAGCTTTGTCCGCCCGATCGGGCGGACATTGCCCGGTCTGACCGGGCGGAAGAAGAAGAGGTGCCTGGCAAATTCGTTGAAGAAGCTGCTCTCGCGCCCGACCGGGCGAGCCTTCGCCCGACCGGGCGAGCCTTCGCCCGATCGGGCAGACCTTGCCCGGTCTGACCGGGCGGTGGGGGTTGGATACGTTGAAGCATTCGTATGGAGTTTTCTTCTCGCGCCCGATCGGGCAGACCTTGCCCGGTCTGACCGGGCGGAGAAGGAAAAATACGGAACGCGGATTTTGCGGTTTTAGGTTATCTTATTTTATTATCTTTTTGCCCAAGTATCTTTTAATTAGGGATTAATATAAAACCTCCCTAATATCAGTATTAGGGTCAAGAGAGACAGAGTGAGAGCCGTTCTTGAGAAATACAAGAATCATCTTTGTAATCTTTGCAGTTTATAGTGAAATCATTCGATCTCGGTGCCCGTGGACGTAGCTATCACATCGATAGTGAACCACGTAAATTCTTGGTGTTGTTCTTATTGTTTGCATTGAATTTCTTTATTGTTTTCTTGTTTGTTTTCGACCTTTGCTTCCGCTGTCGCACAACAATTGGTATCAAGAGCTCAGGTTCAATCCTTGGAGAGTTTCTTGAAGATAACAATGGCAGGAGATTCAACAATAAGAATTGAGAAGTTTACCGGGAAAAATAGTTTCGGGCTATGGCAAATTAAGATGAAGGCTCTGTTAAAACAACAGCAGATATGGCGTCCGTTGGCTCCAAAGAGTACTACTTCGGAGTCAGGAGACGGACCGACTGACTCGCAGTTAGAAGTTATGGAAGAGAAGGCACACTCTACCATATTACTTAGTCTTGATGATCAAATCATCACGGAGGTTGCTGATCAGGAAACGGCGGCTGGATTGTGGCTGAAGCTGGAGTCATTGTATATGACTAAGTCGTTGACCAACAAATTATTACTGAAACAGCGGTTGTTTAGCCTCCGGATGCAGTCAGGTACTTCCTTACGGGAACATCTAGAAAAACTTAACTCTATTTTGCTTGATTTACGTAATTTAGATGTTAAAATTGATGATGAGGATGCTGCGTTGATTTTACTTGTATCTCTACCGTCTAGCTTTGAGAATTTTGTAGAGTCTTTTGTTGTTGGTAAGGATTCTATAACCTTAGAAGAAGTGAAGGCAGCACTTCATACTAGGGAACTCAGAATGAAAGCTACGAGTGATAATGGGGATAATGGTAGTGGGTTGTTTGTTAAGTCCGGAAAGTCTAAAAAGAATAAGGGGTTTAACAAGGGGAACAATGCTGGGTCGGGTGCTGGAAACGGCAAGGATGGATCTAGTAAAACTACTACTAAAACATGTTATTACTGTAAAGAACCGGGTCACTTTAGGAATAATTGTCCGGTGAGGAAAAACAAGTCCCAGGCTGCTGTAGTTGAAGAGAAACCGAATGAGAGCTATAATTCAGAGGAAGATTTAGCATTAGTCAGTTCTGCTAGGTCTGATGATTTATCTGATAACTGGGTTCTAGATTCGGGGTGTTCGTTCCATATGTGTCCACGTCGAGATTGGTTTGATACATATGAACCTCGCAATGGGGTATGGTTATAGTCGGTAACAATGCTCCATGTAAGGTCACAGGTATTGGTTCCATGAGGTTGAGGACTGTTGATGGGCGGAGGTTAACTTTGACTAATGTACGGCATGTTCCTGCTTTAGGAAAGAATCTGATTTCATTGGGTACCCTGGATGACTTGGGGTACAATGGTGTGTTTTCAGATGGGGAGTTGTGTATTTTCAGAGGTTCTGAGTTGGTACTTAAGGGTATCAAAAGGAACACCCTCTATGTTTTTGAGGGTGTTACACTGCCTAGTTCTGCGGTTTGCGCATCTGTATCTCACCAGGAGATGACTAAGATTTGGCACATGAGGCTTGGTCATATGGGGGAGAAGGGGATGCAGCTATTGTCCAAGAGGGGTCTTCTATCCGGGGTCAAGGTTGCCAACCTTGAATTTTGTGAGCCTTGTGTGTTTGGTAAGAAACACAGGTCAAAGTTCAGCAAGGGTGCTCACATTACTGATGCAGTGCTCGATTACATCCATTCAGATTGCTGGGGTCCATCTAGAGTTGAAGGTATGGGAGGTTACCACTATTTTGTGTCATTTGTTGATGACAAGTCCCGATACACATGGCTTAGGTTGCTTAAGTCAAAGGATGAGGCCTTCAAAGTTTTCAAGCAATGGAAAGCTTTGGTGGAAAATCGACAAGGAAGGAAGATCAAGAAGCTACGAACGGACAATGGGCTAGAGTTTTGCAAAGACGAGTTTAATCAGTTCTGTGCAGATGAGGGTATAGGTCGGCATCATACTGTCAGGAAGACACCACAGCAGAACGGTGTAGCAGAACGGGTTAATCAGACACTGCTAGAGAGAGTTCGATGCATGCTCTCTAATGCAGGGCTTGGGAGGAGGTACTGGAGTGAAGCTGTGTTAACAGCTTGTTATGTCATTAATAGGGGTCCTCATTCTGGAATTGATTCCAAGATTCCGTTTGAGATATGGAGTGGTAAGTTGCCTAATTTTTCGAATTTGAAGATTTTTGGTTGTGTTGCTTATTATCATGTTATTGAGGGTAAGCTGGATCCACGAGCCAAGAAGGGGTGTTTTGTTGGGTACGGGGATGGTGTGAAGGGGTTTAGAATTTTTTCACCTTCGGAGGGTCGGGTCATTCTTAGTAGGGATGTTACTTTCGATGAAAACACCATGTATTCAATTAAAAATGCAGAGATTTCAGATTTGAGAAGGGAAGGAGACAATTTATTACAGACAGATGGGGTACTTGAGGTACATCAGTCTACCATTGCTGATTTACCTCGGGTACAATATATTGATGATGATGCTGATGTTCCAGTGCCGGGTACTCCTGAACCTGAGATTACTCCTACTCATTCTAACTCTGGGGATGAGGTGGAGCAATCTAATCAGGGGTCATCTAGTCAACCTGACACCATTCTTGAGATGCCTAAACGAGTTATCAAGAAGCCTGTTAGATTGATTGAAGAGATGGAGGGAAGAAATTGCTGTGTTGATGCGATGACAGGTTATGCATTGAGTGTAGCTGATGATGTAGAGTCATTTGAACCTGCCACATATAAACAAGCAATTAGTTGTAGTGAGTCTGCGCAATGGCTTGCCGCAATGGGTGAAGAGATGCAGTCTCTTTACAAGAACAGAGTGTGGGAACTGGTAAAGGTACCGGAAGGGAGGAAGCTTGTGGGTTGTAAATGGATTTACAAGAAGAAAGAAGGGTTGTCGGAAACTGAGCAAATACGTTTTAAGGCTAGGCTAGTTGCTAAGGGGTTCAGTCAGGTAGAAGGGGTTGACTTTGTTGAGATATTCTCACCTGTGGTTCGACATACTTCTATCCGTGTGTTATTGTCAATTGTAGCACATTTTGATCTTGAGCTGGAGCAGTTGGATGTTAAAACGGCCTTCCTTCATGGCGATTTGGAGGAGGAGATTCTGATGAAGCAGCCCGAAGGATTCGAAGCTCCTGGAAAGGAACACTATGCCTGCAGATTGCTAAAGTCATTGTA